GTCTGTTAACTTTCTTCTTCCATCAAAATCACTCTGCCATGGTCCACTACTTCAAGTAGAAGAAAAGCTTGAAACAGGTCAGCAATAATGTACACCAGGCCTGCACCTCTGTCTGAGGTTGATTCCTCAGAAGCAGAGCCTGAGACGGGTGTTTTTTCTTGAGTGATTTATTGAGAGAATGACCTCAGGGAAAGGAGGAGGGAAACTAGGATAAGACAGGTGAAGAAGCTAAACAAAAGATGTAGGTTCCTGTGAAGTCTAACCTCGGTCTGATCCCACCAGAATGAATGGCCTTAGAGTTTTTATTTAATAGATTTTATTTTTTTAAGAGAAGTTTTAGATTCACAGCAAAATTGAGCAAAAAGTACAGAAAGTTCCTATATACACCCCTGAACACACATACACAACCTCCGCAACTGTCAACATCCCTCACCACAGTGGTACTTTTGTTACAATAGATGACTCTCATTAACACATCATTGTCATCTAAAGTTTATAGTTTACATTAGAGTTCACACTGGAATGTATCTACCATTATAAAGTCAGAATATTTTCTTTGCTCTAAAAGTCCTTCGAGCTCTATTTACTTCTCTCTTTCCCCAACCCCTGGCAACCACTGATCTTTTCACTGTTTTTATAGTTTTGTCCTTTCTAGGAATGTCATATGGTTAGAAAAATAGTGTGCAGCCTTTTGACATTGGCTTTTTCAATTGGTAATATGCATTTAAGTTTCTTCCATATATTTTCATGGCTTGGTAGCTCGTTTGTTCTTAGAACTGAATAATATTCCACGTCTGGATGTACCATAGTTTATTTACCCATTCACCTACTGAAGGACATTTTGGTTGCTTGCAAGTTTTGGCCATTATGAATAAACCTGCTATAAACATCTATTTGCAGGTTTCTGTGTGCATGTAAGTTTTCAGCTCATTTGGATAAATACCATGGAGCATGATTGCTGGATCATATGGTAAGGCTATGTTTAGTTTTGTTAAGAAACTGCCAAACCATCTTGCAAAATGGCTGTGCCATTTTGCATTTCCATCTGCAAGAAATGAGAGTTCCTGTTGCTCTACATCCTCACTAGCATATGATGTTAGCATTTTGGATTTTCTAATAGGTGTGTAGTGGTATATCTCATTGTTGTTTTAATTTGCAATCTGTACTGACACAGGATGTTGAACATTTTATATTCTTATTTGCCCTCTGTAGACATTCTTTAGTGAGATGTATGTTCAGATCTTTTGCCCATTTTTTTTCATTAAGTTATTCATTTTTTTAAATTATTGAATTTTAAGAGTTTGTTGTACATTTGGGATAATGGTCCTTTACCAGATATGTCATTTTCAAATTTTTTCTCCCCATCTGTGACTTGTCTTCTGATTTTGTGAGATACTAGTTTTTCAAATGCAGAATTAAGGGCCCTGTGCTGTCAAATCAACCATTCCAAAGAAATTTACTTCTAATAGCTAAGGGCAGTTCTCTGGGGAGGGTACAGGTGTGAATCTAGCATTCAACAACAAAAGCATGTTGCAAGTAGATATTCTGGCTTCCAAGAAGAAATCTGGGTGAAGCCCTACAAGCACTTTCTGAGGGAGGTAGTCCCAAGGTGTCTCTACAGAAGCAGAGGCCAGTTTGATATCTGTGTTCCCTTTCTTATTCCCTGTGGCTTATACAGACTTGATTCAATGGCTGCAGCCCTTTGGCTGAGTGATGCCTATCTGAGCAGGCCAACTGGTCACCACCTGGGATGATCAGATCCTGTTTCGTAAATAAGCATGTCAGCCAAGTGACATAGCTGGAATAATCAACTGGTAACTAGAGTAGAAGTCACCTTCAGAGCATCGGGTCTCAGATAGCACCTGTCTCACATAAATGAAAGAGCATGAGGTAATCTGATGCCAAATAGCCCTTAACTTCTGGTGCCCATGAGGCCCAGTTATTTTGTAAACTGGTTTGATAGAAACTCCTAAAAGCTTTATGTTCTTTATTTCCATTTTATTTTTATAATCAATTTTGATTACTTGGGTTCACCTGGATGGGTCTCTATGCATCTTACATCTAAAGGGACTGACTGTCTAACATGATAGGCCAAATGATCTGCAAAAAAGGCATTTAGACACTGTGTGAATGGATGAATGTTAGAAGTCCCAAAATAATCCATTGTTGAAAGAAAAACATGAATACTCCAACTTAAAAAACTGGTTAATGGTTGACTCTTCATATAGACCAGAGAGTTTTGGTGGTCAAATTCTTCCATCCATCCTTTCTAATGTGTCCATCCATTTACTCATGGCACAAACGTTGACTGAGGGCGTATTTGCTAACCACCATGCCATGTTTGCATTTCAGTCATCAGTAGACCCAGGCGCAATTAGATGCTCTCAAAGATCCTAGCAGGAGAGATAAACTACCAAATAATCACCCTGCAGAGTGACTAATTACATGCTGAAACAACAACTCAGAAGAAGAATGGACCAGTTTGAGATTATGCTGTAAAAGTTGGAGTTAAGGGGAGATGTCCCTCAGGATTGACACGAATGGATATGAAGGGTAAGTAGGAGTTCATAGTGTGAAGGTCATGTGATCAAATTTGGATTTTTGCATTGTGAGAACATCATTCTGTGGAGCAGAGGACAGATCAGGGAAGTTCAGAGGAAGCGGAGGTAAGCTAGCACAGTTTGTAGGCATCAGATCTGTGGTGGTGGCATTGACCATGAACAAAAGGGAGTGCAAGGAATTCAAGAGTTATTTAAGAGACTAACTGCAGAGTTTGGTGATTACCTACTGGGATGAGGAAGAGGGAGGCGTTCAGAATAATTCTCAGGTTTCTGGCCTGTTTGAGGGGAAGAATGGGGACACCATTTTCTGAGATAGAAAACTCCGAAGAAAAACTAGTGGGTGCTGGCGATGAGCGGTTACCATGATCCTGGATTTAGTCTTGCTCATGTCGACTTTCAGGGCTCTTTGACTGACATGAGTGAGCTAGACCTGAGACAAGAATTCTTGGCCAGAGATTAAATTTAGTGATGAATCTGTGTGTAGGTATTATCTGAAACCACAGGCATGGATGGAAAGCATGGAGAGACAACAACAAGGACTGTGTCTTTAGAAATGCTAACGGTGAATTGTTTCCAAATGAGGGTGATCATGCAAATGAGATAGGAATGGAAACAGAAGAGAATTAGGAAGAAGTGTGTATATCTGTCATGAAATTCAAAGAGATCAGGTTTCCAAAAAAGGGAATGTTTGAATCTAGTGCTAATGAAAAGTCAAGTAAGATGAGTCCTGAATTATGTTTACCGGATTTAGAGACATGGAAGTTGATTGAGTGTTGGGGAGAGAAGACAGATTGAATTAGATTGAGGAGTAGGGCAATCAGATAGAAATAAACAGAGAACATTCTTTGGAAAAGTTTTATTATAAAAGCATTTTGGGTATCATTTAAATTAATAGCAAATAATTCTTACCACCTGCCAAATACCAGGTCTTAATTAAGCATTGCGGAGAACTTAAAGTATATGATGTATATTTGTCCTTATGAAAAAATGCAATTTAATTTCTAACACAAGGCATTTTCCTGATGAGGATATAGAAATAATTTGTGAAGAGATAAATATATTTTCTAAGGTTTTACAACATTTCAAACATATCATTTTATTTCATGCACATAGCCCTGTGAATCAGATGAATTAAATCGTTGTACTGTAAAGGAGGTATATGTTTTATGTCAATAATTTTAGATAATCTAGGTAAGGAAATTTAAAAAACTAAACACTAACACATAGATATAAACATTTTTGGTGTATTTTCTTTTAATAATGTTCTGTGTAAATTATTAATATGACATTTTACCAACTGAACAGAGAAGAAAACCAAGAATCAGATTAGTTTTCAGAATGCCACTCAGTTGTAAGTTGAAAAATCAGAATTTGAACATTATTCTGTTTGATTTGAAAATTTAGACTCTTCCTTCTCCCACCATACTACCTGATAAATAGATACATGATTACCTGCTAGACAAATTGTATAAATCAGACATCCCTAAGAGTGAGGAGAATTTTGGATGGGCAGTGTCAAATATATTTCACATAGCACCTGGGGTTTGAGCTGGATCTTAAAAGACAAATAGGATTTAGATAAGGAAACAGCAAATTATGCACCTTGGGCCAAATCCAGCCCACTACCTTTTTCTGTATGGTGTATAAACTAAAGAGTGTTTTTTTAAATTCTTAAATGTAAAGTGTAAAAAAAGGTTATTAATCTTTTAGCAATATCAGTTGCTCCATTTTGCCTCTTGGTCCACAAAGTTTTAACTATTTACTATTTGATCTTGTATATAAAAAGCTTGCTGACTTTGATTTAGAGAAATACATGAGGGGTAGGGTCTCAGGTTAGAACAATGCCATCAGCCTATTTCTAAAGGAAGTAAACACAGGGGAATATTCTGGGGACAGGGAGTGAACCAATCTAGAAAAAGAGAAGATCCATGCACTGTGATCAGGCTCTCGGCTGTCTTTGTTACCAGGCAAAGAAGAGTGGTCAGTATTTTCCTACCTAAACATTTGCACAATTATCTCATCAACTAGATTTTGAGACTCTTCTGGGCAATAATCATTTTTTTTTCTACCTGTGTTTCCCAGTAGAGTCTCACACATGGCTGGTCACAGACTACTGGCTCAATCAATGTTATTTGATAAACCGCCTCACATCATGTAGACAAGCTAGTTAATCATCACCAGTGTCCTTTCCTCTTTAATTGTCATACACTGAGTCATAGCCTTCCCTCAAATACATCACTCTCAGGGACAACAAAATGTGTCCTTCAGTTGTAATAAACGGTGGGAGAGTGCAGGAGAGAAAAACGTCCCAGCAATTTCTGCTGCCGGATGCGCACCTAATTGCAATATCGACAAGAGAAAAGATGGCCCAATTTGAGTGTGCCAGTGTGATCTTCCAGCTGGATTACGCCATTTTAAACAAGACGGGTTTGCCTACGTTGGAAATAAGGATGTTCAGTTTGCAGTAAATTCTGTTCAGAGCCCAAAGCTGAGCCCAGGGACCCCAGCAGCATAATCAAGGCCGTGATTGATGAGATGTCAGCGACTGTTAGACACAGCGTGTGACGCATCCAGTCACTGGGGACCTGAGTGTTTGTCATAATGTCACAGCACCTGCTGCTGCTGCTACCTTGGGGTGTCGGGGAAAGGGATGCGCCTGACGTGGCCGTCCCCTCCCCCAGCGCCCCGCACGTGTTCGGAGGAAGGTCGCGGGGGCATCTGCCATCAGGAAAGACAAAATGGAGCCACGCAGGGGAAAGCAGCATGGGGTGGGGGAAGGTGGCGCGTTCCCGGCGCGGGGAGAGGAAGAACAGGTGCCACTCCGAGGAAGACTGCCGCTGCTCCCCGGGCCCTGGTAGCCTGCCCCGTGGCAGAGCTGCGCGCGTGCCGGCCTCCTGGCAGCGGAGCCCGCGGCGGAACCACCACAGCGAAGCATTCTGTCCCCTCGCAGCTGCTATCCCGAAAACTACAGGTCCTCCAGGAGGCCGAGATAAACCTAGGCGCAGCCTTGTCTTCCGGGAGAGGAGAATGTCTGTTTCCCCACGCGAAATGATGTTTAAGATCCCGCCCGAGCCCCGATCCCACAGTTAAGCATCAACTGGCCGGTTAACGGGATTGTTCTTCCGCTTGGCATTTGCAAGGCATGGATTTTTCTCCGTTCTCTCCTCTGCCAAGTCTGCCTCCTCTGAGTCTCTCTGGGAGAGTATTTGTAACTCTGCAGTTCAGTTTAAGGAAGGAAAAAAAGAAAAGACAATTAATTCTCCAAAGTAATCATGTGGTCTTTAAAATATTGTTATGTAAATCAAGCTAAGGTGTCTCTAAATTCATTAAGTGGGTTGGAGAGTTACTCGCCCTGGAGGGTCCCAGCAAAATTGGCAGAGACGTTTTCACTACCCAGGTTATGGTTGTTGACCTTTCCTTACGTCTTGCTTACACTTTCCTAGGGAGGCAGCAGGAACTCCGAGGGGCTTATCGGAGTGGCAGAAGGAAAGCTCCCACTGAAAATGCCTGTTATGCACCTTCCGGGAACGGCCCTCCTCTTTCATCTCCTCCCAGCCCCAGCTGGAATTCCCAAATGTAGCCTAAACCAGTACCATACCTGCTAGACAAATTGTATAAATTAGATATCCCTAAGAGGGAGGAGAATTTTGGATGGGGAGCAAATAAAGGAAATGGAAGCTGCCAAAACAGTGAGTCTTGGTCAAAATTTCACAGTCATTTCTCAGGTCTGGTATTCGAGGATCTAAACACAGGGGAAGTCAAGACAGAGTGTTGCCGTCCTAGCTACTTTTTGGAAAAGGGAAGCATGTAAAGATTGACTCCTTTTTCTAGCATTCTTCAAAGAGCAGGAAAAGTGGGGCAGTAAGTATTCGAAAGCATCTGTTTCCTGCCTGAACCCTTCTGAGTACCAGAGGGGACCAGCAGAAGAACCTGCCATGGTCGGTAAACATGCAGGGAAGGCTGTGGCATAGGAAGCCAGACCCGCAGCTGAGCCTCCCAAGGATTAAGACAGGCATTCATTGGAAAACTGTGTTTGTGTTTCTTCCAGTACTGTTACTTTTTAAGGTATAATTTACATACAATAAAAGATAGATTTTTAAGTATACTGATGTATGGATTTTGACAAGTATGATGGAACCCACCACCAATCAAGAAACAGAACTTACGTCGGGCACGGTGGCTCACCTCTGTAATCCCAGCACTTTGGGAGGCCGAGGCAGCAGATCACCTGAGGTCAGGAGTTCAAGACCAGCCTAACAGATAGTGAAACTCCATCTCTACTAAAAAAATACAAAAAATTAGCTGGGCATGGTGGCACATGCCTGTAGTCCCAGCTACTAGGGAAGCTGAGGCAGGAGAATCACTTGAACATGGGAGATGGAGGTTGCAGTGAGTCGCGATTGCACCACTGCACTCCGGCCTGGGTGACAGAACAAGACTCCATCTCCCCCACCCCCCGCCAAAAAAAAACTTGTTCATCACTGCAACAGATTCCCTCGTGCCTGTGCCCTTTGTTTCAATCTTCCACTCATCAAAGGACACCTCTGATGGATCTGCCTTCTGTCATTACAAATTAGTTTGGATATTCTAATGTCATATTAATGAAACTACACACTATGTAGTCATTTTCTGGCTTTGTTTGCTCAGAATGATGTTTTTGAAGGTCATCCATGTAGGAACATATATCTAGAGCATCTATATGTAGTTTGTTTCATTTTATTGGTGAGTAACATTCCATGATATGGTTATACCACCATTTGTTTATGCATTCATCTGTTGATAGACATTTGGGTTGTTTATTGGTTTGTGGCTCTTATGAATAAAGTTGCAATGAGTATTCTTTTAGATTCATCTGGATGGATTTACCTTTTCAGTTCTCTTGGATAAATACCTGGGAATGAAATTGATGGGTCATAGGGCAGGTGAACGAATTTAACGTTATTAGGAACTGCCAAACAATTTAGCACACGGTTTGCACCATTCATCATTCCCTCACAGCAGTATTTGAGAGTTCCAGCTGCTCCACATCTTGTCCAGTTACAGTATTGGTATTGCTAGTGTTGTTTGCTTTAGCCATTGTAGTAAGTGAGAAGTAGCATCTGATTTCAGCCAAATTTTTTCAAAGCAGTTATTTTCCTGGGGACCTATTGCTGAATTCTAGCAGAGATTTAGCTGGGCTATGAAAGGAAGAATTACAATAGGAAAAAGGTTTATATTTAGAGTCAGTCTGCATATTTCAATTTTTAAAAGAAAATCTCTAAGCAGAAATTTGCGTTTAATATTTCTCCCCAGAAGTCTAGTTTCCTTAACAGCTGTTTATAAATATTTACCTTCACATTTTTAATGACGACAAGGTATATAGCACAAATACCAGGTGCTTTAAAGCATAAATATTCAACACAGAGGTTTCCAATTGTTTCTATGTAGGACACAGAGACCTCTCTTCACATACAGGTCTATGGAAGGCTTGCTGGCAGTAAAGGTGGATAAAAACTGACACCCTGGAGAATAAACTTCTTGGTTTGGATCTTTTCTTTGCTAGGGGTGTGATTTAAGGCAAGTTATCTTGCCTCTATAATGTACCATAATATCTGATACGGTTTGACTGTATCCCCACCCAAATCTCATCTCGAATTGTAATTCCCGTAGTCCTCATGTGTCATAGGAAGGACCCAGTGGGAAATGATTGGACCATGGGACAGTTTCCCCCATGCAGTTCTCGTGATAGTGAGTGAGTTCTCAGGAGATCTGATGGTTTTATAAGCATCTGGCATTTGCTCTGCTTGCACTCACTCTCTCTCCTGTCGCCTTGTGAAGAAGGTGCCTGCTTCTGCTTCATCTTCCACCATGATTGTTAGTTTCCTGAAGCCTCCCCAGCCATGCAGAACTGTGAGTCAGTTTAACCTCTTTTCTCTATAAATTACCCAGTCTCCCCAGTCTCAGGTATTTCTTTATTGCAGCATGAGAACAGACTAATAAAATATCCTCCTACATAAACTAGGATAATAATATATCTACCTCCTGGGCACGCATCTAAAACCTGAAACTACTGTCTGGCACGAGGGAAATGCATAATAAATGCAAAAACATTTTAAAAAGCTAATTTTTATAAGTGATTTGCCCTATCTCATTCTCCTTTTCTCTATCGAATGTAACTGCAGGGCTGATCTGGCATCTCAAGGCCACCTGGAATGAAGTGCTGAGTCTAAGGGTCCATAGGCAGCTGGCATGTGATGTGATTCTAAGCTTCTAAAGAAATGCTCTGGAGAAATATATCTCTGGAAGATGGGACCTGGAGGGATTTGTGTAGCCTTTGACATTTAGTGCACACTTGTGTGAAGCTCCTGAAATTATATACAAAACTCATACGAATTTTTTTTTTTTAACCTGTAGCTTGCAGCAGATTCTCCAAGGGGACTGGGATCCCAGGGTCTTTTGGCTCCACTGCAAAGTAAGGTAGGACCATTGAAGGGTTTGGAACAGATTTTAGAAGAAGAGAGTATTAGGATTGAGCTTCAGTTCTGCAACTTATCAACTAGTTGTTTCTGACCAAGTTACTCAGTTACTCTAAGTCTCAGTTTCCATATCTTTAAAGTTGATATCACAGTATTTTGTATCTCACAGGGTTACTGAGAGGAATAAAAAGATGACATGGGCTGGGTGTGGTGGCTCACGCCTGTAATTCCAGCAATTTGGGAGGCTGAGGCGGGTGGATTGCCTGAGGTCAGGAGTTCAAGACCAGCCTGGCTAACAGTGAAGTCCCATGTCTACTAAAAATACAAAAAAATTAGTCAGGCATGGTGGCACACGCCTGTAAATTCTAGCTACTCGGTGGGACTGAGGCAGGGGAATTGCTTGAATCCGAGAGGCGGAGGTTGCAGTGAGCTGAGATGGCGCCACCGCACTCCAGCATGTGTGACAGAGCAAGACTCTGCCTCAAAAAAAAAAAAAAAATGACATGATTGACATTCAGAAACTGGAACCTAGTAAGTGCCAAACAAATATTAGTTCCCTACCCCTTCACTGACCTAGATTATAGAAAGCAGGCTTAGCCTCTGTTAAATTGCAAACGACTTTGGGAAAGATAATAAATTAATTAGCCATTCTTACCTTAGTGTGAATGTACCAAATCTTTTCTTTAAAACAGAAATCTTGCATCAAATATTAACAGACCATAGAAAAGAAAATATACAAGGACAAAATTACTTCCATTTAGAGAATTCCCTTAAACAATAATATTAAATTAACGGATAAATTTTGAGACCTTTCTTTTGTATTTCTGTGTCTCTTTGTATTTCTAAAATTTCTTTTCATAACTATAGCAGCCCAAATATATATAATATATATATCTTCAGATATCAGAGTCCTCTTATCTTTTAACTCAAGAGTCAGCAAACTATGGCCCATTGTCTAAATCCAACCTGTGGCCCATTTTTGTAAATAAAGTTTTATTGGAATAAAATAACTCCATTTGTTTACATATTGTCTATAGCTCTTTTTGTATCCCAACACAGGGTTGGGCAGCATGACAGAGAACACACAACTAGCAAAGCCTAAAATTCTTACTGTATGGCCTTTTACAGAAAATGTTTGACTCCTGATTGACTCCTGTTTGATTCACCTAGTGCGCTCTTGACACTTTGGGGATGTGCAAGAAAGCAAGAGGAGTCAAATGGCATAGAAACATGGCAAGAAGGCTGGAAAGAGGCTATGATTCCCAGTGCAAACAAATCTGGGTTCAGGGACAATCATTTCATTATGACTTACTAATTGATCACCCTTCTGTTTATTTAGGACTTTAAGAGCTTACCAAAATCCATGTCCTTTATAAAATCAAAAAGAAGACAGACTAGTGGGATCAAAGGAAACTCCATAATACAGTGGGTTTTAGAGAATTTTTTTCTAATCTTTTATTTTTTATCTTTATATCTTATGTAAGGTTTCTAAAAGAGTTTGAGAACTATAAATCAGGAACTGAATATTAAAAAAAGTTAAACATGCCTACATAAACTAAGTGAAAGGAACAGAATGGAAGAATTTAAAGCGTAAAAACTTTAAGGAATTGAAGAGTAATTTGAGGTGAACATCTATCTATTAAGAGACTGTGATACAGTGATAATTAAATCATCATTAAAAAAAGAAGTATTTTTGTAATGCAAATAAAGTATGAGGGGGAGGGAAAAAATTAGCATAAATTTAAAAAATATTACGGCCAAGAAAATTTTAGGTCTTTGATTCAAAAGGATATTTCTTTTTTAAATTTTTCTCCAACACAGAGATATTTTGATTCACATCCTTTGAAGGCTTTGCTTTCAGAAGAACTGCCCAGATAAAAAGCAGCCATCCCTCTCACGGACGAGTGTGGAAAAAGAAGGAATTTAGGAAAAATAAGCATGGTGAGGAGGGAAAGAGTTGTAGAGGGAATTGAATTTTGCACGCGTAAATCTGCCAATCACAGCACAGCTGGCCAAGGACAAAGGACAATAATAGATGGAGAGATGATGGAATCCAAAGAAAAACTTTTAAAACCGCATTTATGAGAATGAAGCCTACTAAGGGGATGGACAAATGTCCAGGGCTTCAAAAATGACTTTCCTTAAGGTTTTCTCTGTAAGCTCTGAAATTATCTCTGGGCAATAGCTGAGAAGTCTCTATCTCTTTATTTCCTTTCTTTGGGGTGGTTGGTA